CCATAGCCGGATGGTACGTGGCAAAAAATATCTCTGGAAACGCACTGTGTATGAATGCAGGAGCTCTAGGTAGTATGGTGAAGCTCTGCTTCGTTGGATGGCGGGGCGATGACTAAAACGAAATCAGAAGTAAGTGTATAATAAAATATTTATCTTGAAAACATATTAATTTCCCTAATTTTAGGTCGACGTATTGTAAGCCTTATGTCTTAAAGTGGATGTCAGCATTCACGTCAGTCTGTCTATGGGTCGGGCTGGAGCTCTTTCACCCGTCTATGCAGAAAACATATTAAAATATCCGGATACGGTCGGGGGACCCCAGTTACGAAGTTCGTTTTCCCTTAATCAAGCTACGTAATTTAATATTATAGGATAATACGTGATATGAAAATTAGGTAATATAATAATGAACGTGAACTGTATAAAAATCGTGTGCTGCTCTATAAAGTACTGAAAAGGGTTTTATTTAAAATACGCTATTGTTATCCGAACGAGGTGTATGTGAATAATGCATTGAGATTTAGTTTTATGACATTTAGAGGTCACAATGACATTTATTTGCCAATGGTTAAGTAGTCGACAATCGCCTAGAGCCGGGCGTTCTCCATTCCGAAGCCGCGAGTCTAGTTTTAGTGCTAATTGCGGGAACCCTCTTACTGTGCTCGGGTTCTGACCCCGAACGGAGATCGGACGTTTGGTGGGTAGAATCCTAAAACTTACTTGGACCCGTAGTCCGCATCCCAACATCTGCGGACTGTCAAGACCGACATGTCTCGCGCGCCCCCTAGGCACCGTAACCTATTCCATGAGATTCGATCTCTTTTTCCCAAAAAAAAAAAAAGATAGCTATAGACATAACGCTTTTTCATTACCTGACCATTTCTATCAGTCAACTCCAACCGAAGGCCACTTTAATATATTTGTATATAAAAGTCGAATATAACAATCTTGTTGGGATTCATTGGCACTATCGCCTTTCCCCGTTTTATTTCCTTGAGTTTTATAAGTGAACTCCCACAAGTATCGAATGTGGATTTTGTTTTAGTGTCGCGCCACTAATGGTCGGGTTTTATATAAGCTGCTATTATCTCTAAAATGTTGTTTGGAAAGTTACCAAAGTTCCTGAGCGTCTGTTTGTATGTCGAAAGAAGAACTGATCGCATTCGGTTTTGTGTTGCGAAATAAAGAAATTCTTTTATTCTTGAATAGCAAACAGAAGAATTATAACATATAATTTACGCTCCAAAATACGATTCAGTTTGAGTTGTGTAGTCTACGGGGGAGTATCGATCTATTGCAACCTAATTATAAACCAAATTAGATACAAGGTTTGCGAAGTTGAGGCGGCAATGGGCAGGGCACATTGTTCAAAGAACAGTTTGGTCGCTGGGGCCGAGAAGTTCTCGAGTGGTGACCGCGCACTGGAAAACACAGGACACAGAATAACGACCTGCTAAAGATCGCGGTAATCCGCTAGATGCGAGTTGGGCAGGGCCGGTCATTATGGCGACCCTTAGAAGAGACCCATGTCCAGCAGTAGACGTCTTGGGTTGACGATGATACAAGGTAAGCATTAAGTTCACCCAAACAGAGCAAATTGTTTACATCATAATATGTATACTCAACTAGCGGACAAAACAGACGTCCTGAGCACGTCTTAAAGCCGAAAATTTCACACTTTTTTGTCATAAAATAAGTAAGCCCAATTATTCTATAACGGTTTCGTGATTTTTCGCATTCTGTAGATTTTAATAAATTCAGTAATACAAAAAGGATGACATTGCGTGCAAATTAGGTAATTTATTTCAGTGTAACATTTGCGTAATGGTGTTTAACTTTGAATCTGTGTATGCGGGTGTGCTACCGCATATTAAAGACAGTGGTTTGCGAGCGACTAATAACCCAGGGTTATTCGTGCAAGCTTCTAAGCCCGGTCAAGGATATAATCAGGAAAGATAGAAGCGGCAATAATGCTGTAACACACGCGGCCAATAGGTATCCTACACCTTCCTTTCACCTATTGCCAGTATTTTCTGCATTTGTTTGCAGTAGCCATCATCTAACAAGAGATATTTGACATATTCTTGAATCTTATTAACGACTTTTACAAGATACATGCATGCTAATATGCAAGTTACGAACAATAACATTTAGTTGGTCTACCGAGAAATTTCACCCGCTCCGTGGAATATCTCCCTTTAGCATAACCCCCCAAACATTCAAAGACAGATGAGCATACCGTCCATCTGACTGATCAAAGCCATTATCAGCATTTCTAGAGGTTAAGCTGTTGCTTTGCTCTTGACTCCTAAATCTTCTTAACCTTGATAACAATAGATAATAAATAAATCATGATGTTCCTCAATTAGTCCAAGTTAGTTCAAGTCCTGGAACTAGCTCGGGGGGGGGGGGGGGGTCATGACCCCCATGACCCCCCCCTGGATCCGCCGTTGGCTTAGCTTCTGTATCGACTTTTTATGGCCTGTTGTATCTATTAAACCGAAGTATTCTAGTAAAACAAACGAACATCATAGAAACCATCAATTTATTTACACCGTTATTTACATATTTACAAATAATCACATTTAATAATTGAACATTATTTACATCCTTTATAAATGTTATAATAATAGCTCCGACGTAATTCAAATGCGCAAAACAAGTAACACATTATGAAATTTACCACAATTTATTTATTTATGTGACATAGCAAATACAACAAAATCTATGTGTCAAATGTTACGTCACAAAATTACAATAACGAAGAAAAATTTGTAAGTTTCGTAATTAGTAAATTTTACTTTTGAGTATATCAATTAAGGCTGGGAATATGTGCTAATCACTTCAATTACAGATCAACAGTTATCATTATTGTAATAAAGTACATGTGTGTATTCTAATATGATTCATACAAACTTTATAAGTCGTAATTGTCAAAAATTTAGGTTTAGGTTATAAATGGTAAGACATCCGGTGTGGCCTACTCGTGGCAATGCGAGCTATGCTATTTTTCAAATCCGTATTTTCTTGTTTTATTGCTTAGATGGGTGGACGAGCTCACAGTCCACCTGGTGTTAGGTGGTTACTGGAGTGCATAGACATCTACAACGTAAATGCGCCACCCACCTTGAGATATAAGTTCTAAGGTCTCAAGGATAGTTACAACGGCTGCCCCACTCTTCAAACCGAAGCGCATTACTGCTTCACGGCAGAAATAGGCGGGGTGGTGGTACCTACCCGTGCGGACTCACAAGAGGTACCTACCACCAGTAATTTACCAGTAATGTACCACCAGTCTTTTAATCTGGGACCTACCAATTTTTCTGAGAAGATACATATCACATGCTCACGAACCACTTATACGACGAAGGAATAATATCGTGCAATAAAAATCAAATCCGCCAAAAAATATTCGTAGGCTATAAAGAAAAGGCTATATGATTGCAAAAAATAAACGCTCATCACACAATCGGTCCCAAGATAGAATTCTCTGTCGTACTAAGAGAACCGACAGTTACATAGTAACAAGGAAATCGAATACTATATGCCCTAACTAAGTTTCTTTGTTGTGAACGAGTCTGACGGAGAAGCAATTCCGGACCCCGTGATATAATCTCACCATCTGTCTAGCTTTCAGTATTGTATTAATAACGTAGATATAGGTGTACATACTAAAATTGATCTTATAATTACTATTAACGAAGTCTTCCAATAAATACTTCGTCTTTGTAAATAAAAAAACTTGAGAGGTGTCAAGGGACACCCGAATGGAACGAAGTTCCTTTCGATTAATTAGTGAAGGAATTGTAATAAAATTTTTTTTTTTTTTAAGTTATAATAATTTTTTTTTTATTATTAACAAATATAATGTTTTATAAACTTAATCAGTAATATTTTATAATAAAAAAAAATTTTGTACATATACATAAATATAATTGTATAAGAGGGAGAGAGACAGAGAGAGAGACAGACAGACAGACAGAGAAACATGCGACGGCGCACAGCTTACAATAGCTTACTATAGCAAAAAGTGTCGTGACAACTTTTCGTAAGAATTTTTTCCGTCTAGCCCCCTTTCACAACGCGCGATAAGGAGCTTCGTTCCAACAAAATTTCGTCAAATCGGGTTCGCATCTTGAAAAATGTCCCTGACGGATTGTTTTCGAAAAATAATGTTTTTTTTTTTGTTTTTTTTTGTCACGTAATTTATTAATACCGGGATCATCAACGTGAGAACAAAATAAAGGTGATATTTGAAAACAAAAATGTTTTAAAACGTTTTTGGGGCGTTTGTCAAAATTAAAATTGTTTTCCCAACGGAGGCCGTCGGCGATCGAATATTTCATTGATTGTTCGAATACTTTCAAAATGTTTGATACTACTTAGCATTAATGGCTCTTTTGAAGTATGATAATCATATTATTTACTTTCATATTATATTTGGAATATTATGAGAGTTATTTAATATAGTATAATACATCATTTTACAATTTGTAGCGCATCAGGGATGTTTGCAGACGCGCACATAGATTGTTTTTACACTACCATGCGTAAGAGGTGTGCATCTCTGGTAAACAGAGTGAGGGCCAGCTCCAACAGTATCCTGAGCATGATCGCAAGCAGGCTGGACTGTGTATACATGGGTCGCTGTGGTGCCATCTCACATGGGATGTTACGACAGTAATTCATTGTGATGTAAATATAACTACTAACAAAGGTCTAAGTTTATTAACAATTTATATGAGTCATGGTTACTTGCAATATAAACATTATTATTATTATTATATCGACGCTTGAAAGGCATACTAAGCGACAATGCGTGAACTTTACAGTAGACTAATTTAAAGATAATATAATATAAATAATTTTATACCTGAAAACAAAATTTATTTTAACAAATCTAGCTGTAGTAGAATCTAGCTAGTAGCTGTAGAATTGAAATGATTTTAACAGACCTAGAAATATATTTATTTACGCATCGAATATGGTCATAGCCTATCATTTATGTACAAAGAAGATATTGTCGCTTAGTCATGTTTGCCTTTCGAAGCGTCGATATGTATGTGTGTATATAAATATAATGTAGCCAACATAAGCAACGAATTAACATGCAGTAGATCTTACAACAATGCACAACAATTAGCCACGAAATGGCTCGGTGTGGGTGTTTTTTTAGCTTGACATGACAAATTGATACATATTTAGATTATTATACTACTTGTTTAAAACGTGGAACAATAATAACTTCCAAAATAGTGCATGAATTAGATTGCATGAATTTTGACTTCATTGTGGTTTTTTACCATACAATTTTCTAAAAAAAATTGTGTTTGGTATAACGGCGTATTTTTTTTGCCTAAGTGACGACATTATGAATTTTTTGAATGCCATCAGAAAATGAAACATGATAGAATAAAGTTTATTCAAACTTATTTGAATAAAGTGATTTAAAATTCAATATGTTAGCTCGCTACCCGTTTTACTTTGCATAAAGGTCCTAATGAATTCAGCATGCAAGAAACGAAAATATTAGTATCCATAAAAACCCTTCGAAGTAACTTTGTACGAACATAACAGCCGGTGTATGATGATGGCGAGGTCTGTTAAGATCAAAGCAGCCCATAAAATATAAACAAATGTTTTCACTTTACTCTTAACAATCTTAAACACGAGCGCGTTACAAAATAGACTTTGGATTTGAGTGTTTTGAAAGAAATCAATATGACCCCATTTCACATAATATTTTGCTAGGGTTAGTGTAACACATCCAAAAGTTACAAACTAATTTTGGTCGTAAATACACATCATTAAACAATAGATGTAATCTATATAAAAACAATTAGACCGATTCACAATATTACAACAGCCGATACCTAATCTATTTTCCTATAAAACATTATCACTTCTCACGAAACAAAAAAAAAAAAAAAACAACGATCCCAAAATGTGCAGATACCATTAATTATAATCCCATCAACATATCCATTGATACCAATTTATACCTTATATATTGCACTTTACACAATAATAATTTAACTTAAACAAAATATTTACAGAGCATTCAATTTCTATATCAGTCTGCGTTTTTGTTAAATTAATATTAAGAAGATTATCGCTATGTTGGCTCCCCTACGTTTTGGTCTTCATTCGATTTCAGTGATGTCGAAGTGGTCAGTAGTATAAGGTCTTCGTCTATTGTTGTTAGTTGAGAATATTGAGCCTTCGGAAACAACGTTCTGCGCATGCACTTTCTTGACTTTACCTGTTGAAGAATATTTTTTCAGATCTTGATGATGCTTGAGAAAATGTATCAAAGGTATGCCAAGACCGCCTTGTATGAATATCGGAGCGTATAAATACCAATGTCGAAACTGTATAGGAATTATTATAATAGAAACCACATGACTGCTTAGCTGAGAAATAGGTATGACTGTGATTTCCTGACGGACCCAATACATCTTTTACTCTCATTATTCATTTACATTTATGAAATATCAAATAAATTTCTGTCTATCTGTGAAAATAGTTTTAGTTTACTAACTTATACACATTAAAAGCACCAACTTACCTTTAAAATTATTATTACTATGACAATCACAATAACAGTAGCTGCCGCACTCCAAATGATAACATAGTTTAAATCGATGGTATCTGCAGAATCCTTCGAATCCTCTATGAAATATGATGCAGTAATATGTGTCCTTATATTTTCAGCTATTCTTCTTTTACCAGCCGATGAACCATTTAAGCACCCCCCTAAAATTTACAAGTGTGTTTTAATGAATTTTCCCACCCCAAATCAATATGCTTTACAATCAGTTGTTCTTAGCTAGATGCTTACCGATATCCTTATCACAATGGCAACAATCCGATGTTTCATTGACTGTTAAGTAAATAGATGCCATATTTTCTAAGCAGCAAGGTAAACATTTGTAGTTGACTCTAAAACAACAAAAACAAGTCCACATTAATTGGTAAATCAATCAGAAAAAAATTTAGCATAATTGGAACTTACCTATCTAATTGAAGTGGATGAGCGCAAGTAACACAACTTGTTGGCCCAGACCCTGAACAGGATCTACAAGAGTCATGACATGGACGGCATTTCCTGGTCCTCACTTCATAATATTGAGAACTAAGGCATTCCACGCACAGACCGTCTTCTAATGAAAAATGTGGCGGACAGGAAGTACATTTTTGTGGTCCTGCACCATGGCAGTCTTGACAATAGTGGTGACACCGGCGACAGCTGGTTTCCCATGGAAAGAAATTTTGTGGGCACTCAGGCCTGCACTCTCCTGCTGCCAGGCGCCAATCAGGCGGACACGATGCGCACTGGTCTCTCCTGGGTCCAGTACAAGTTTCGCACGATAGATAGCACTTAGAACAAATCCCGTCATCTGGATAATAGCCTGGGGCACAAATTGCTCGACAAGTACCAGATTGTAAGCGCAAAGCCCCCGTGCATGATGTACAGTTCAGCCGTGAAACGCATGACGAACATGTGTGGGGGCAATGTGAGCATTTACCGGCGGTTTGATAATACCCGTGTCCACATTCTGCTACACACCTAAAATAAATATACACATATGTATATAAAATTAGTTTTTCACCTTCAATGACCCTAAGTAGAATGGCGCAAGATGATGCAAGAGAAAGTTATTAGAGGAGGCCACGACCCTCAGCACTGAGGATTATCGACGCAAGGAGGAGGAGGACCCTAAGTCAGAATTTTCTTTTCTTATGAGTGCTGTATGACCTACCCATCCACATTTACAAATCTAGTTGCCGATAGAATAAAAACTATCCATGAAAATCAGCGTCTTTATTATAAGAAACCCAGACGATCACTCCAACACTAGTTAGGTTAGAATATATTAAAGAATACATACACCCAGACTGTGAATGCATCAAGGTGATCAAATATAGTTGAAGCCCAACGTAGTAGTAGCCCAATTATAGTATAAAAAAATGTGAACACAAAACAACAAAACTAATTAGCGTAACGTTTTGGCAGTAGTTGCATCTTTGTTACGCGAAACATATTATATCAATGTCTTACAAATATTCTTTATGAAAATAGCAATAGATGTTTGATCACGACAATGTATGGATCATAAAGTGAATGTGATATGTTTTTCTGTTACCTCGACCCTTGTAACAGAAGAGGACTTGAACAAGAGATGCAATCCCACTCGTTCGGTCCGCTACATTTCTCGCATGTTGAATGGCAATTTTTGCATCGACCTCCCTCGTAATATTCATCTAAAAATGCAGAATTGTGTTAAACTTTCGAAATTAGAAATAAAATTAATTAAATAGCAAAAGTATTTGGTTGGTTGTTACTTTAAGTATTGTTTTAAAATGTACTTGTGTTCTTTTAAATTGAAAAATGGATTATAATTAAAAAAAGTTAGCCGAATATGTTCTTAATGTTGTTCATTACATTTCATTGCTTACTTGTATCACATTTTTCGTTTCCATCGGGAAAGCAACTTCCTCCCTTAGTGAGCGTCCACTCCTCTTTACAGGAAGAACACACTCCATAAGAGCATACCAAACATCCAATCGGACACCTAAAGAACAAAATGCACAGCTTAAAATGGAATAGATCTTATAAAATTATTTAAAATACGAGAAAAACGCTTACTCTAAGCATTCCCTTTTCTGTGAATCCGCATAGAAGCCTGAAGGACACTTCGAAATACATTGGTTCTTGAAGACAAAGTCTCCAATTTTACAGGATACGCAAGAATTTTGGCTCGGTCCGTAACAAGAGTCACAAGATTCGTGACATGGCATACAGCCATAGTAGTCTTTTTGATAAGTACTTGGTGGACAGGCCGCTAAACAAGATCCATTGTACAAAACATAACTATGGGCACAAGAAGAACACAAGTCTGCTTTCTCTGTGCATGTATCACAATGTTCGGCGCATGGAAAACATGCGTTGGCATCTGGGTCTTCATAGTAACCATCTGGGCACTGCTGCAGGCAGACAGCCAAATCCACGACCAATAAATGTGCCGGTGCGCAAGTCAAACATGAATCTTGTCCAGCTCCGGCACACGTTTCGCAAGACTCGTGACACGGCCAGCAGACTCCGCCTTGATTAACAAAACTCCTGGGGGGGCATTTTGAAACACATGAATTATCCAAACGGTAATGTTTACAAGCGACACACTGCGTTGGGCCTTTGCCGTAGCAGCCCTGCGAATCACATTCCGGATCGCATAGTCTCTGCACTTGCTTATCATTAGCATCGGCTAAAACATTCTTTCTTTGAGCCGATGGAATGTTTTTCTCGTAGCTGCGCCTGTCTGAAATACCTAGTTCAATTTCGTTTAAAAACTGAGAGTATTCAGATGCATCGTATACGTCATTAATGTGATATGTTTTTTCTTCGTGGTACGAATTTTTCGAGTTCATATAGTCTTTATTTCGTAGCCGTATGGGGGAGACAGCGGTACCGTAAAAAATTAATTGCCATTTCTTCAATACTCCAGCTTGCGTCGCGTGAGTATTGCCCGCATTTATAATTTGCAAAGTCCATCTCCCTTCGGCGTTTTCACCCCAGAAATGAACGCTCAAAAACGGCCAGTCGTCGAAATTCGAACTAGTTGCGTCATGAGTCCTCTCGAATAGAAGCGTAGACGTGGTTCCCATCGGTGATGTAAGCAATATTCGTAAATTACCTCTCGGAAAAAAGCTTAACGAAATTTTACATTGAACGTGTTCCAAATATCTGACCTCGTTTGTCGTCCCGCTGCACCCATTCACGTCCATATGTACAGATATCGTATAACCGAAAGACGTTTCAATGGATTTGTCTTCGTTTATTTCTTGGGATTTACAAATGTGCTGAGGCGCCACATTAGTCCACTGCTCGGCTAGATTGACCATTTGAGCTGCATCCATCAGTCCGTAACCGAATTTATGACTAACTTTCCTTTTAACACCATTCACAATCCACCCTTCTTCTTTTTCTAGGGGTTGAGAACGTGACGTCATTACAATTAAATGCTGCATATCTCTCCACGACAATAGCGGATTAGCTTCTAAAGCTAATGCACAAATTCCTGCAGCCAATGGTGCGGATGCTGAGGTACCCGTATGGTCGACCGTGCAGATATGCTCCGCTCGTAATTGGACATCCATATCAACGGTTGCAACGCTTTTATCTCGTCCTGGTGTACCTGAACTATACGTTGAGGCTAAAGTCGAAGAGCATTCTTCTAAATACCAAGGCTTGTACCCTCCTTGCGTTGCGCTAGATATGGATATAGTGAATATGCTATTAGCATACCCGTCGCAGTTACAAGAGTCAGTGTGCCGCCCCCCGTTTCCTGATGCCCATATGAATATGGATCCTTTTCCCCCTCTTCCGTTCGTTACTCCGTTGATAAACGCTCTGGAACAAAACCGTTTTAATGAGCTTGCCTCTAACTCTTCTAAGTCGGGAGCCCTCAAACAGGAATGATTGTTTGCTGAATATCGTACTAATTGCTTTGCAAAAAGAAAACAAAAAATACATTTCACAATTTCGTAATTATATTTGAAAATGATTTTAAACGTAATAGAAGATTAGAAATTTCGACAAATCAGAGACTAATTAAATACAAACATAATTGTAGATGTTCAAATATGTAACAAAATTACAATGGAAAAACAAACTTTTCCTAAATTCTTTGAAAACGAATTATTAAATCAACCAGATCCAACTGTTTGAACGTCCCTAATTAAACAATACCTTCGAGCTAAAGGACCCGGGCCGTCGACAGTTTTTCCGTCGTCCTCCGGTCCCCACGACGCACTATATATATCAATATGATGCGTGTTAAATCCGAGTGCTTGAGCTTCCACTGCGTCGTTTACAACGCCATCCAGCATTCTCACTCCTCCAATGCTAGCATTGTATGCTATACCAACTCCACAGTATCGGTTATAAGCGACGGCAGCTACCTCGCCTGCACAACGGGTCCCGTGCTTATTGTCGCCATTGTCCTGTGGTGTCGGGTCCGTATCGTTCCCGTTTATGTCAGTTGAAGCGGCCGGATCCTGTGACGATTATTGTACTTTATATTATTATAATGTATTAATATTAAAAGTATCTAATCGTTCTAATAATCTGCTATTCCGCTTGAATATAAGACGTATTTATAAATACACTAGTGGTCCCCCGGTAGTCGAAATTCGACTATAATTAATTGAAATTATAAGTTTGAACATTATTATGGTTCAATTGTTAAAGACTATTATTTTACTTCCTATAATCACAGATTTCGCCAAGGCTACATTATGGGCAAACAATATTAATCTATTCTCAATTTGACCGCAGACTTTCAAAAATAACTAAAGTTTGACAATGAACGAAGAGTATATATGCGTGTGTTTGTTTGTCAAATACGTGGTAGTGTGTGTCATGTTTCTTTTATTGATTTAATGTATTATTTAGGCATAATTAAAAAAAATTGCATTCTGCACTCCGTCTCTATATTCTCTATAAGTGTGGAAAATTTCATACTCCTCCGTCCGCGCAATTTTCGTAAAAAGGGTACAAAGTTTTTGCCTCACGTATTAATATAACACAGATAAGCTATCCCATAGGAATAAAATTGAACGATATTTAAGCAAAATCTAAAGATTGACTGACTCACGTAATTCTGTGATAGATCCGGGTGATTAGGCTGTATGCCGTCATCGAGTATAGTAATGACGACACCTTTTCCGGTATAGCCCTTCCTCCAAGCATACCCGACATTCATATCGAGACCATCAGCTGCGCCACCATTCTAGAAGGCACAACCTCAATTACTCATAACTTACCCATTTTTTACATATTTTCATCATTATCTTTACCTTCAGCTCTAAAACTTTTAAAGACTCTATTGAAGTAAATGTTTGCAGGCCCTTATCAATAACTTAACATACTGGAATGTGGCCAAACTAGATCCATGAATAAAGGCAAAGCATAGTACATATTTGCAGCACATATTTCTAATCGTAAAATGCCTATTACGAAAATATAGCATATACTTTAGGTTTTTACATACATAACCTATACTTTTATCATACTTTTTTTTTGATGGATCACTCTTATCAGAGCGGTCGTGATCGTCATTCAGTATCATTGCTATAGGCAGATGCTATGTGAATTAGCATACTATCATTTTTTTGACATATCTCACTGCGAGAAAATGACTTCATAGAGCGCTTTTTCGTTCAGGACAAAGTAGAAGGCACAAGACCGCGTGAAAGGTTGCCCATGCGATGGACCAACCAAGTCAAGTCAGCAGTTGACGGCTATTTACATCAGTTTACCAGGCTCACCATAAACCGGGAGAAGTGGCGATTACTCGTAAGGCACATAATATCTGCCCACAGCAATTTATCATACTAGTAGTAGTATTGAAAATATATGTTTTAAAATTAGAAAAACAATTCCCTACACAAATAATTATTTTTATTGAAATTGTTTTGAGTTTAAATGATACATTCTAGTTCGAAAATTTTGATATGTCTCTCGAATTAGTAAAATTATTTAACGATAAATGCCTTATCGCTTAAGCTGACAGGTGAAACTTTGAGTAAAAACTTTCACGAGACTCAACCGAACTCACAATTTTTATAGTTCTAAGTGATAAACCTAGAACTTTAGAAAGAACGGACTAACTTTATTAGGAACTTACGGGCTGATTCGATTACTTATTTACTGTACAGATATTGAGGGACCATAAGACAATTACAGGTTCCCTAAAGTATGTATTTCGTATGTCTGGAACATAAGATTTAAAATGTCAAGTAACTTCCAAAAAAAAAAAAAAGGTTTTTAAAAGTTTTTACTCGAAACACGTCGAAAATAATTTATTGCGTCTGGTGCGATATCTCATTGCGAAAAATGTAATTTAATTCAAATAACCAATAAAGCTTTTTTAAGCTTTGCTTTGAACTTTCTCTATTAATAAAACTATTCATTTGGAATACTTGTCATTGAATTAGAAATAAAAATCTTCAACACTCCAAAACGACATTTTCGTCTGCCCCTCTTCCACAATAATCTCTGAGACCCGTAAAGTTTTGTTGGACGAAATTTGTTAGTCATGTAATAGTTAATAATAAAAACTAGAGGTCCCGCAGTAGTCGAAATTCGACTATAATTAATTGGAATTGTAAGTTTGTATACTATTATGATTGTACTTTATACTTCTATAATCACAAATTTCGTCAAGACTACACTATAAAAAATATTGACAAAGACAAACCATATTCTATTCTCAATTTGACAACAGACGTCAAGAACAAATGTTTGACAATAAATAGCATGCATGCGCGTGTGCGTCAAATACATGGTCTGTAGTGTGTGTAATGTTTTCTTTATTGATTTAATGTATCATTTATGCATTATTTATAAAAAATATTAGCATTGTGCATTCTCTATAAGTGTGGAAAAGGAGACTGAAACGATTACATACATTTTTGGGCCCGAATGTAACGTGATGAAACTAATATGAATTAATAGATTCAGATTTATCAGTACCTTGCTGAAAATTATAAAAGTTTTCTCAATCTGAGAGCCGAGTTAATAAAGATTTAGTAAAAGTTAGGTTATGTTACAATCTCTTTAAAAGAGTTGAATAATAACTTATTTATGAATAAGTAAATGTTTATTATATCCATTGGATAATCTTTTAAATGTCATATTATGAATGAATATCAATGATATATATCAGGTATGGAATATGGAATTGCTGTCCCACAATTCACACAGCGATCCATAATTTCAACAGTATCCAATGCAACAATTTCAAGTCAAACGTGTGAGCGATCTTCGGTGTCCAGTGTAGAAGCAATTGTCGTACAAGGCTGGTAGAGTTGGAATCCGTAATAATAAAGCAGTGATCGTTGAAAATATAAAAACAGCCCGATAGATACACACTCAAAATGCGTCGAAGATACAAAACGAGTAGAGCAGAAAAAACCAACAAGCGCCAAAAAATAATTGTATAATCTATGAACAAACGTCATGTCAGCTTACTGTCAAAGCTGTCATCAAAAATACAATCGATTTNAAATTATTTTCTTTAATTTATTTTTACCCGGATAGTAACGAGAATCTTACTTACCAAATACCACTGCTCTTTGAACAGTGGATCAGGAAAAGACGGTGCGCTAGATTGCCTCATTACATGTCGAGGCTTCCACTGATGGTCTCGTTTCGTTCTTCTTAATTCCTTTTGCTGCATCACCCATCTTACCTGCACAGAAGGTAAGCAGACTGTCAGAGTGTCATTTAATTTTAATGTCAGCTCACGGTATACTTAAGGTACTGCTTACGGTACTGTTTACAGTGGTTTCTGGATCCATAGCCTCCTTAAAGATACCTTAAGTATGGGGTCCAAATCATGCTCGCAAAATTTAGAAATTCACGTAAAAACCAGCGGTAGGACTATCGTAGATTTGCATTATCTACCATCATCATACCTATTTCTACATCAAATCGGTCATACATTCCAATTTGAGGAGTTTAAAATTAGTTACTATATTAGAATTGAGACTTCGATTGGAATTGTCTCAAATGGGATAAAGAGATTCTCATTCTATCTTCTAATAACCGTCACAACATTACACACAATGCCACACATCACAACAAATACAAAAGTTGTTTGGCCGAGATTTCAAACAAATTTAGTTGTTGCCACAAAGAGTCATCCTAAAATTTAAACCCGCATTTTATGGATTTAATATTTAACGGTGTTGGTTCTGGGGTTTGCAATAGTATCAATGAAAATACCGGAAACTACGGCTCAGGACTCTTTAAAAATTCATGTTTGTAAAATACAAAAATGGTTTATTTCATAATCGAATGGTATGTGGTGAAATGATTTCTTGAAAAGCACTGTCGATAGCAACTGTGCCAGCTAATAGGGGTGATATTTACTTTATAATATTCTAATATCGATTATCGACAGGATATCATCTCAAAGATGCTGACGAAGCAGCACACAAGCGACTTAAAACCAATCCAAAGACTCAAATTTCCGATTCGTAAGACAAGTCTATATCGATTTTTGTGATAAGTTGTATGGCATTTCAGCTCTATTATGAAAATATCAGAGTCCACTATCAAGCGACCATTTACCTAACAAATAGCATTGCGGGCACGGACATAATCACAGTGATTACGTATTCAAGTCCGCACAAATTGGACGTAATATCGGAAATTCATGGGCAGAACTAAATCAAGGCGAGATGAGTAGTCCTTTCAAGTTGCGACAGATTAAACATCTGCTTCCAAACTAAGGGTGGCGTGCATGAAACATTATTTACTTTACAAATATGTCTGCTTGTTGACTGTTTTTTTAACTTTGAGTTTTGGTGTGCAATAAAGTTTATTCTCTCTCTCTTTCTCTCTCTGTCTCTCCATAATAATATTTGAATATGACAATTAAAAATTGGCAAATCGTTTTGTTTTTCATCCTGACGATCCTGGTCAGGATAGTAACAAAATGAATGCTAAATGCACTATTGCAGGAAAATTTCACAACTCACCTGTGGGTCATTCTTCAGTCGGTTGACGTAATCTATACTTGCGTTCGTTGACCTTTTACTGACGTGTGGGTGGGAAAATAAATAAAAATTCTTCAGGTTTCCAATCTGGAACAAAACAAATAACAATCAAACGATAGCACTTAGTGAAATTATATATTTTTTGGTACCGTTAGTGGGCGACTCTCAAGACCTTCTTTGTGGCAGAATGTTGAATCTGTAAATGATAATCTCACGTGCTGCATATGAAAGAGATGAGTTTACAGCCTAACTGAACGTAAAAAGTTGTCGCCTCTTATGGACTTCAGTAATGTGAGGTCCTCTTTGGAAACCTCGAGCCACATAACGCTCAAGGAACTTTGTGGTGGATAATTAATTCAAGTGCCGGCTTTTATAGAACAAAAATTATACCCTAAAACACACTATTGATTAATGCAACAGTTCTAGGTGCCAGAGATGAACTGAGACTCTTAGCTTCTGTTGCAGGTGATGTGTTATGTTTTTCATTTCAGTAGGAAGGCTTCGTGATATCTTAGAACTGCAGAAATCGAATAAATTTTAAATAAAACCGTTGAAAATATGATATGAATGCTTATTATCTTTATATGAATATCGACGCTTGAAAGGCAAACGTGACTATGCGTGAACTTTACAGTAGACTAATTTAAAGTTGAAATACCTGAAAAGAAAATTTATTTTAACGAATCTAGCTGTAGTAGAATCTAGCTAGTAGCTGTAGGATTGAAATGATTTTAATAGACCTAGAAATATATTTTTTGCGCATCGAATAAGGTTATTGCCTATCATTTATGTACAAAGCAGTTATTGTCGCTTACTCATGTTTGCCTTTCAAGCGTCGATATGTACGTATTTTTGTAAATATGTTTTTATTTTTTTATTGTTTAGATGGGTGGACCAGCTCACAGCCCACCTGGTATTAAGCGGTTACTGGAGCCCATAGAAATCTACAACGTAAATGCGCCAGCAACCTTGAGATATAAGTTCTAAGATCTCAGTATAATTACAACGGCTGCCCCAACCTTCAAACCGAAACGCATTACTGCTTCACGGCAGAAATAGGCAGGGTGGTGGTACCTACCCGCACGGACTCACAAGAGGTTCTACCACCAGTAAACTCCCTCTAAATAACATAATATTACACTATATACCTTTCTAAGTAATAAATTAAAAGAATCCACTATTCGGTTCCAATAACGAGTTTCTTCCACGAAAAGCGGACATAAAATTAATTTTCCTGTAACTTCTGGAAAAAGTTAATAAATTATTCAACCGCCATTCGAGTTATCGACCAATGGACAACTAATCAGTGTGGCCGGACCACAGAAAATTTATAAGTCAATGGTCGGTATCGACTTATCAATTTTCTGTGATCTGTACTAGGAAAAGCTGCATTTTCCGACTACATTAGTTTTGAACAAGTCAGATATCTCGAGGATGCACTTGAAGCCGATTAGACGCATCCAGACCCAGCAGCGGAGTAAGCTGTCGCTTTTTTTTTACTGCTTAGATGGGTGGATTTTTTTTGGCATAGTTGGGTGAACGAGCTCACAGCCCACCTGGTGTGAAATAGTTACCGGAGCCCACAGACATCTATGACGTAAATACCGCCACCCCCCTTGAGATAAGAGTTCTAAGGTCTCAAAAGTTTAAAAGTTTGGTTTGCACCGTCACAAGTCACAGCAGTGACGCAGTAATGAAGGTTACCATGAAATTAAAAACTTATTTTGCTCTTTAAGGTCGGACAGACGGTCGTCCAGCCCCAAATTAGGATTCCCTGTGTTACTAATGTTTGCCGGATATGGGAATCGAACCCGCACAAGTATCGGTGCAACAGTTAGGACTATCTACTCCACTACACAGTCAGTTAATCACTTAAACCCTAATATAAATCTACTCGATATTGCTTTTACAAGTTTTGGTATTTGGTATTTGGTATGGTATTTGGACCGACCTCGTAAAATCATAAAATCTGTGACTCACTCCAACATAAACGATTACTCTCACTCGTCGCATCGCAAGAGCATCGGTACCGCAGGATCAGACTGATGCATGACCACAACCATAATGTCAAGAGTGTACAAATAGGAAGATTTGGTATTAACGCAAAAGCGAAATTTGCGGAACTGGCGCTTGCATATTCGGATTTTAGCAGGATCTCACGACAGGCCATTCCGGAGCCGCGACGCATCACATTAATCACACCGGCCCCCTTCAAACGAGGTTTCAATTACCTTCTTTGTGCTCGTCCCATTGTCGTCCTGCGATATTTTCAGCCAAACGAAGATTTAATTAATGGGAACAAACGTTTAAATTTCCATCGCGTATAAATTTATAAAGTCAATCGAGAGATTGTCGATACTTCACGTGCCTGCGGAAATTAAATTTTATGCTTTCAGTTAAATGAATATTGTTTGGTTTGAAAAAAGTGTCGGTGCGTTAATGATCGACTTGTGATCGCATCGATGATCCGTTTTGTTGGTAATAAGCGTATGTGTAACAAAAACTCGAATCTAGAAAATTTATAAATATGCGTTATCGAAGTCTTCGTGACCAAAAGGCTCAAACTACACCTGTGTTCAAATTTAAGGCCAATAATCTTCATGCACAGACGCCTTGGAGTGCATTTGAAGAAACCTACGCTCAGCGTTGGGAGGACACGGGTTAAAAAAAACGTGTTCAAATTCGGCAAGAAAGTGCCTTCTTTTTGCGAGAAAAAAAAACGGGCTTAGCAGATCTTAACGAGCATCTGCCACTATGAAGGAATGGCATCTTGTAACAAAACTTGGGCATGCAAAATGTATAAATTTGCGTAATTAATGATGGCATACGCAAAAGGGGTATTCTAAATCTTGGACGCGTTTGTACTACCATTTTCCCTGTTTCTGCTGCAAAATATTCATCAGTTCTGATTTAAAGGGTGAAACGGTCATTATACAATATAATTTGAAATTCTACCTGATGTCTCAAGATGGGTGACAGCATTTACGTGGCGATATTTATGGATTTCGGTCACCACTTTACAACTAGGACAGCCATGTCATGTAATAAATAAATAAATAGTCACCTGTATGTATCACTATTGTGAAGTATTACAATATTTTTAGAGATTTTAGAAACAGAAAAATCACTATCCGTTGTAATTAAATCTTCAACCTCATGTGTTTACCGTATTAGATCGCTTGACCATCCAAACCGATAACAAGGTCGTACCCACAAGCCTGTATGTATTACTGCCCCAAAATACTACTTTTTTTATTTTATTTTAGATACAAACAATCGCTATCCATTACAATTGAATATTCGACCTAATGCGTTCGTTAGATCGCTTGGCCATCCAAAGTGATAATAAGGACGTATGCACAAGCTAAATACTTGAAGGCTACTGCCACTACACTAGGGGCAATACAGTCTTTACCAAAAGGACACACGGGGCCCGTGCCCAGGGCCCCCATTCTGAGGGGGCCTCGAAAGACCGACAATTTATCTCACACGTTTATTCTCAAAACATTTTTGTCGGGCACATAACACTTTTTTCACAAATCAGTTATCAGAAGGTATTTACAAGGCATATACTATGCAGATAATTGAAGATTTTGCTCAACAGAAATCCCGAAAGAAACCGTTATCGAAATCGTAACCTAAAAACCAGCAGCATTCTAATATCATTAATGACATTATATCATACTGTATTTGATTACCTATAATAAATGGTCATACTTAGTGTTGTTACTAACCTTATACTCTTTGCTAATTACGATATTTTTACTTGTCAAAATTTAAGTCAGTCGCACAATAAATGTCGTTGCAACCACACACAGTTTTTATTTACGGATAGTACGCAAACCAAATTGAACCCTAATTACATCATTCATATTGGTCCTTCGAGCCGGATTTTTTTGAACATACAAGCTATCGAAGATGGACGCCGGTCAGTGAAAATATTGTTTTCCAGTAAGCCGTAAACCACATTCCAGTGATTTAAAGACAAATAATTTATACATAATTTATAAATATTACAATTTTATTCCGTTTTCTGGTTGGACGGTATTATGGATGAACTTTTGAACGTTCTAGAAGATACCACTGCGCTCTTAAACAAAACTCAAATTAATTTGAAGAAATGTCCAAAAGCTAGATTGACAAGAGGTTATGTAGAAGCAAGAATCAAATGTATCGAAGAATATTGGACTACATTTAAGCAAACGCATCTACAATTGGTAAAAATAACACCAAAAGGACAAAGACAAGAGTTACCATATTTTCAAAATGAAGATTACTTCGTGTTCGAAGATTTGTATCTCGTTTTGTTAGCCGATTTAAAAGATCTTTTGCAATCTTTCACACAAGCAGCCGCGCCGAGTACTTTAACGTCCTCACCAAATAATTCTAAGATTATTGCGGATACCGAAAACCTTGTTCGGTTACCGAGAATCGAATTACCGAAATTCACTGGAAACTATGAAGATTGGCCTACGTTTCAAGACCTATTTACCTCCTTAGTGGATAAGAACCCGGCTTTAAGTGACGTACAAAAGTTACATTATCTTAAGAGTACAGTCAGCTGCGAGGCAGAAACATTATTAAAACCTATTCAAGTCACGGAAAACAATTATAAAAAAGCATGGAATATTTTGAAGTCAAGGTATGGAAANAAAAAAAAAAAAAAAAAAAAAAACAACACTTCGTAAAGAACTTGTGTTACAGGTACCAGATAACGGAAATAAATGTAAGATTTTTATTATACACATACGTATATTTAATATACATCCATAACCCTGGCATCCATAACAATCCATAAATTGGCGCTTGCATATTCGGATTTTAGCAGGATCTCGCGACAGGCCATTCCGGAGCCGCGACGCATCACATTAATCACACCGGCCCCCTTCAAACGAGGTTTCAATTACCTTCTTTGTGCTCGTCCCATTGTCGTCCTGCGATATTTTCAGCCAAACGAAGATTTAATTACAGCGAACAAACGTTTAAATTTCCATCGCGTATAAATTTATAAAGTCAATCGAGAGATTGTCGATACTTCACGTGTCTGCGGAAATTAAATTTTATGCTTTCAGTTAAATGAATATTGT